GCCACTGTGTCACTTCCTTCCGGCTTTGCTGTGCTAGGGCCTCCAGTCGGCAGACAAGTGTCATGTCGTTTCTTTCTGATAAAGGAAAAATTGTGTGAGTGCACTGTAAGCATCTGCGCCATCCGCTACTTTCACTACGAGGAAATAACTGCAATATCCACTGTAGCTTGCTCCACCGCGCGGAAGGTGCAAACCCTACCGCTTGCCCAGAAAGCAATGCCATAACAATAACTGGGCCCAGGAATTGGGACCTGGCAGATCAGACCTGCTCAGCGACTGTGGCACATGGCTCGAAAGTGGGGACCAACTCACCTTACGGTTGAAAAGAGAGGCCAGTTGGGGGCCTCTAGCGCAGTTGGAACCCAAGGCCCGTTCGAAAGCCACACGAGCTACCCTGCCAGTCTGATCCGTAGCGGCTACCACAACGACAACGACAACGGCAACGACAACCACAACAACCACAAGAACCACTACTACTACTACTACTACTACTACTACTACTACTACTACTCCTGCTGCTACTGCTACTGCTACCGCTACCGCTACTGCCACTGCCACTGCCCCTACCCCTGCCCCTGCCGCTGCCGCTACCGCTACCGCTATCGCTACCACTACCACTACGACGACGACGACGACGACGACGATTACTACTACTACTACTACTACTACTACTACTACTGCTACTATGACTACCACTACCCCTACCACTACAAGGACGACGACTACGACGACGGCGACGACGACTACTACGACTACACGACGACGATTGATACTACTGCGACTTGGACGACGACGGCAGCTACGACAGCTACGATTGCTCTGCTATGCTTGTTCCCAGTATTGTAAAGTTGTCAACCTTCCAAAGGTGCCGCTCCTGCGGCCGGCGGTGGCGGTGATGCCGGCGGCGCTGCCAAAGAGGTGTCGTCGGTAAGCAAACCCTCAGGCTTGTGGTTTAGGGTCGGGATGTCCTCTTAAGATTGCGTGTCCCCTCGTAGGATTGGGTCTAAGGATTCAGTCGTAGTCTTGTCTAGAGTTTAGGGCCAGTTCAGGGCAGAATTGATTGAAAGACGATGCACCGGGCGAATTAGGACTTTGGGATGGCAGGGGAAATGGGTTTAGGGGTTCAGGGTGAAGTGCCAATGCGTTCCTTAAGGGGTGATTAAATGTTGGCTATACATCAATGATATCCTACCCAGACAAGCCGGCGGTTCTATGTGTGTAAGCCCCGCTTGGGTTTGGAGATCAACGCGAAGGGTTGTGAAAGAGTGAACGCTTAGTGGGTATTGTTGGAGATGTTTTTATAGCTTCTTCTGGCAGTCCTAACGAACACAAGAACGCAGCAACGGCAGAGGACATGGAAGCTAGGACCAAGAGCTGCTTCGACCCTGAAGGCCCTGAGCCCTTTACATTTCAGGTTTAGTATCTAGGATTTAGTTTGAGATTCGGATGGTCTATAGACCAACGTTGCAGACCCAAAAGCCAACATCGTCCTACGGAGTCCTACACTCATGACTTGCTAGGTACTTGCTCTTTCTTCCTTTTCGGGTCGTCTAACATAGAAGCCTAAGCAATTACAAAGTCTATTTCTTGAGGTTCCTGATGGTAACTATAACTATACTCGGTAATCCACTAAAGTGCACTAGACCTACAGAACTCTAGTCTAAATTACTCGAAAACATCCCAAAACCCTTTTCTAATCATTCAGGCCTTACAGCACAATGTCCTGGGCCTTAACCTCCCTCTCACACCCTAAACCCTGCACTCTAAAACCCTAAACCTTTCAAACCATAATTCCCTAAACCCTAAACCCAACTCTAGACCGCCTCTAAAGGCAAACCCAACTCTAGACCGCCTCAAAAGCCTTTAGAACACGGGAACTCAGAGCTTCCAACGCAGGTGGGTTTAGGGTTTAGGGTTTAGGGTTATGATGGATTACTCTAAACCCTAAACCTTAAACCTCTACGAGGCTCCCCCTCAGGACACCTGCGGGAAAAGGGCCCTTAAACAAAAACAAAAACCCTTTCACATTGTAAGGGTTTCTAGAAGGATTTCTGCTAAGGGTCTGCACAAGCACTTCTAAGACGGTTACTATATAGGATTCCAAGAGGGTTTAGGGCTTAGGGTTACTGGGATTCCAAGTAAGGCTTATAAAGCCCCAAGGCATTACAGAAGGGTACTATAACCGTGTTTGTCAAGCTTTCCCGTTGCGCAGGAGAAGAAGGTCGAGGAGGAGGAAGAGGAGGAGGCGGGCCCAGACCAGTGGCCTGGTTTGGGTTCCCTAAACCCTAAACCCCTAAACCCTAAACCCTAAACCCTAAACAGGGTTTAGAGTTGTAGAGGTTACGGTAGGGGGTTTGGGTTTGGGGTTTAGGGTTGGGGAATCAGGCTTCTCGTTGTAGAGTCTATGATCTTGGGATGAAACTACATTCGTGGAGTTCAGATAGGGTCATCGCCTCTAGTTCAAAGATGCAGCATCACTGCAAGGGAAGCAACCAAATCCACAGCCATCACAAGCTCCACAACAGACATGCTTCGGATCTGTCTTTGTGTCAGGCACTTCCTGCAGCCGAGTCTGCCTGCAATAATTGGATGGGCATTATATGCCCTGAACCTGAAACCCCTTGCGCACAAACCCCTAGACCCGGCCCTAAACCCCTGAAGTCCGAAAGGAGATGGACTTCGACCTCTTCGGATGAGATGTTCACTAGACCCAAAAGATCCGCCGTGGAACGATCCCAGAAGAAAGAGGATAGAGGGTTTTGGGTTGAGGGTCCCTAAACCCTAAACCCCTAAACCCTAAACCCTAAACCGTTTAGGGTCGAGGTTGATTAGATAGCCAATGGGAGACGTTTGACCAGGCTCGGGGTGCAGATACTGTAGAATTAAACGTTTCAAGAGGTTTAGGGCTTGAAGCCCTAAACCCTAAGACCCTAAGACCTAAGACCTCAGTTTCGGATATGATTCGTGGATCCTTATGCTTATCCTCGAAAGAGCAGAAAGGAATTGAAGCCAGCCCCGAGGCTCTAAGCACTCATTGATTAAGGCTTTTGGGCCCAAAGACCATGCCGAATAAGGCCTTTGCGCTGGTTCGAGCCTAAACCCTAAACCCTACTTAGGGGTAGTGAAGGATTATGGGTTTAGGGCAAAGGGGCGCCCGGACCCTGAGAGTCGCAAACGAGCTAGTACAAGGCCCTCATGTGCTCTTAGCGGGTTTAGGGTTGAGGGCCTAGGGTTTGGGTTTAGGGTTCGAGGTTTAGGGTTTTGGGTTTAGGGTTTGGTTCGGGGTTTACGGTGTAGGGTTTTGGGGTTCAGGGTTTGGGCAAGAGTGACTGAATGCCGTTGTCCCTGAACCTGCAGCCACATTTGTTGAGAAAGACCACGAAAGGATCCATACTGCCAGGTCTTATTGAGGATCATGCTTGGGCTAAGGCCCGAAACCGAAATACAAGGTTCAGGGTTTAGGGTTTTGGGAAGTAGTGGTCGACGCATAACCTTGTCATGCTTGGCAACTGATACTTCAAGCCAAATACGAATGCTCTGCGAGTTCGAATTGAAAACGTTTCAGGCTAGATCCGAAGGCGTAATTAAAACCCTCGCAGCCCCAGAGCCAACACCCTAAGCTTGAACCCTCTAATTTGCTTCTAACTCAGATTCTCCGAGGAAGTAGCGAATGCCACATCACACCTTCCGTCCAAAAAATCACAACCTCAGAGTCAGAACCGCTGGAAACCCCTTTCCCAAAGGTTCTGTATGCACGAGCCCTTATAAACGCTAAACGCACCAAGCCCCCTCAGCACGGCACAACCAGCCAGAATCTGCAGCTGGCCCCAAATTCTCCCGAACCGTAAACTCTAAACCCTAAATCCCAAATCTCAAACCCTAAATCCTAAACCCTAAACCCCACAAAGCTTGGCATCCGTTCACGTTTGGCTCATGGCTTCATAGTGACTTCGTCCTACTGTTTGGGAGCTCCGAGTCACTGCCACTCGGCCTTGCCCCAAAGCAAAGCTGGGTTTCGGGCTCAGACGGTTTAGGGTTTAGGGTTTAGGGTTTAGGGTTTAGGGCTCAGACGGTTTAGGGTTTAGGTGGGTGGTTGTCAAATCTAGGGCCCCTTTTGCGTTTAGGGTGCCCGCATCAAGAATTTCGGTCTGCCAGATGTCAAGACACTCTATAGTATCGTAAGGCCAATGCCAGCGAAACCCTAAACTTTAGACCCATATCTCATATCACATACGAAAGACTACACGCATATGAAGATGCCCTCCGACCAACTTCTGTGCCGAAGCTCGCGGCATGAGACTTTACACTCAAGAAAAATATGTCGAGACTTAGCATCTTCATGTCCGCCCTGAGCCCAGCAGAGGTAGGTTTCGTTATCTATACCTATATTATAATATATATATATATATATATATATATGTATATATAGATATAGATATATATGCATGTATGTATTTCTATTAACACATACAACATACCTGCCTACATACATACCTACATGCATGC